ATATATATATATATATTAGTTTTATATATTAGTTTTATATATTAGTTTTATTTCTCAGAGAAAATAGACAATATATGTTAGTGCATTTGAACAAATCTGATTTTGCAAATATTAATTGCAGAAAATGTCAATATCGTAGTGGATGTTTTTTCAGAATTATTAAACTTTATCAGAATTAGTCAGAATTATTAAACTTTTTTTCCAAAATTTCTGTTTAAAGGAGAGTTGTTGTTTTTTCTGCACGTATCTAAACAATAGTTTTAATAACTCCTTTCTAATAACTGATTTCTTTTGTCTTCCCCATGATGACAGCACATAATATTATAGTAGATATTTTCAAGACACTAGTATTCAGCTTAAAGTGATATTTTAAAGGCTTAACCAGGTTATTTAGGCAAGTTAGAGTAGTAAGTTAATCATTTTTAATCCCCAAAATATATAGCGTAAAGAGGCTCATAATTTTGACTTTAAAATGGGTTTAAAAAATTGAAAACTGCTTTTATTCTAGCCAAAATAAAACAAATAAGGCTTTCTTTAGGAGAAAAAATATTATAGAAAATACTGTAAAAAAAGTCCTTACTCTGTTAAAATATCCTTTGGGTAATGTTTGAAATTTTTTTTTATAAATTCACAGGAGGGCGAATAATTTAGACTTGAACAATGTTTTTTGCTGCTGCTTCATTTGTAAGTTGATATTAATCTGCTAAATGAATAAATGTGTGTTTTGTGCTGTGCAGGTCTGACGATGCACGCCTCCATCCTGGCCTACATGTTCAACCTAGTGGAGGAGGGTAAAATCAGCGTGGCACTGAACGCAGGCACGGCGGGTAACAATCAGGGCTACGTGCAGGACTATGTGGCCAACCTGCTGAAGACTGCCTTCCCACATCTGCAGGAGTAAGTCGTGCGTGTGTGCTTTTAGACAGGCATGGGCCAGTGTAAGATTCTGACGATATAATAACTTTGGATAAGATATGGTAATATGATTACTGCTCTAAAATATGTTCTTTTTTAATGTCTAGGTAAAAAAAAAAAAAATTTTCTTAGTTGAACACAATTTATTCAATTTCATGAAACATTTGAAATATTTTGGTGCGATAAACATGTCAGGTTATCGTCCCATGCCTGGCGTGTGCATGTTTGTTCATCATGCTAATGCTGTGTTTTGTGTTTTTCAGTGCACAGGTGAAGGTGTTCGTCACTGGTCTGTTCAGCTTAAATCAGGACATTCCTGCCTTTAAAGAGCACCTCAGGGACTTCCTTGTGCAGATCAAGGTATGTTACTTCCTGGTTGAGTTTTACTTCCTTTTTCAAGCGCTGCTGACCACAAATGGAATAACGCTGTATAAATGGTTATACGTTTACCCAGAAACCACAATGAGTTGTAGATACTCAGCCCCTTTAATTTAAAGATTTATCTATATTATATTATAATATATTATATTATATTATAAAAACGATGATATTAATCTACATAATATTGAATAATAAATGCTTATTGTATCATTTAAAAAATAATATTAAAATCATTAAATTATGATAAACGTTTTAATTAAGTGTAGTAGTAGTAGTTTTATTAGAAGTAGTTGTATTATTAGTGGTAGTAGTTGTTAATCATTATTATTAGTAGTAGTAGTAGTAGTAGTAGTAATAGTAGTAGCAATAGTAGGGTTAGTAGCAGTTTTATTATTATTATTAGTTGTTGTTGTGTTGTTTTTGTAGTATTATTATTATTATTAGTAGTAGTTTTTTTTATATTATAATTTGTAGTAGTAGTAGTTGTTGTTGTTGTTGTTGTTGTTGTTTAGTAGTAGTAGTAGTAGTAGTTGTTGTTTTTTATTGATATTATAATTTGTAGTTGTTGTTGTTGTTGTTGTTGTTGTTGTTGTTGTAGTAGTAGTTGTAGTAGTAGTTGTAGTAGTAGTAGTAGTAGTAGTAGTAGTAGTAGTAGTAGTAGTTGTTGTAGTAGTTGTTGTTGTACTTATTATTTTTATTAGTAGTAGTAGTAGTAGTAGTTGTTGTTGTTGTTGTATTATTATTAGGAACATAAAATGCAGACAATAAAAATTATTTAAAAAAAGATAAAAACAAATTAAAATGAGTTAAAATAGGCTATAAAAGAATAAAAAAAGAAAATGAAAAACATAATAGTTCTAGTAACAGTAGTATTTGTATTATTATTAGTAGTTGTCATGGTTGTTGTATTATTATTATTAGTAGTAGTAGTAGCACTCGTCGTGGTAGTTGTAATATTAGTAGTAGTTGTATTACTAATATTATTATTATTAGTAGTAGTTGTTGTTTGTTATTTGTTGTTGTTGTTGTTAGTAGTAGTAGTAGTGATTAGTAGTAGTTGTTGTATTAATACTATTATTATTATTATTTTAATTAGTAGTAGTAGTAGTTGTAGTGATAGTTGTATTAGAAGTATTTGTTGTATTAATACTATTATTAGTATTATTATTATTATTATTAGTAGTAGTAGTAGTAGTGATAGTTGTCTTAGTAGTATTTGTTATATTAATACTATTATTATTATTATTAGTAGTAGTAGTAGAAAAGTTGTACTTAAATACTGAAGTTGTACCTAAAGAAAGGCAGTCTATTGAGAATAGTGTTCATCTGTGCATCCTAAAACTCCACTTTTATAATCCACTTGCTCACTCAGAGCTGTTTATGCTAATGAGGGAGAGATGGTCACTAATGGGCGGGGCTTTTCCCCTCAGATTATATATTCAAAAGGAAAATGTCAATCAAAGTGTTTCTGCAGACTGTTTTGTCATGTATGATAATAAAAATGCAATTCATTCATGTTTACCATTAATTGGTTAATGCTTATATTCGCACACTGCTGCCACACAACTATGTTTAAACCCCTCATAAGTGATTTTTGCATAATAGGTGCGCTTTAAGTCTATCTGCACTTGTACTGTACTGTAGAACACAATGGGCTCTTTGTGAATATTAGCATGCTGTGATGTTTTAATCAGTATTCGTCCCTCCAGATATAAACTAATCAAGTGTGTGTGTGCATTTGTGTGCGCAGGAGTTTGCAGGCGAGGACTCAACAGATCTCTTCCTAGAGGAGCGGGAAGCGTCTCTCCGTCAGGCTCAGGAGGAGAAACACAAAATCCAGCTCTCCGTCCCAGGAATCCTGAACCCTCACGAGCTCCCGGAGGAAATGTGTGAATGATCGCCACAATCGTATGCGCGTGTGTATGTGTGTGTGTGTGTGTGTGCAGAGGTAGCAGTCCAATGAGGGACGGATAGGAAAATGAATCCAGATGTTGGTTTTTTGACGACCAAATCAATGCCAATATGTAAATTTAAAGTCTGTTATTAGTAAAGCCGGCTCCTCGTACTCCTCTCCCCCCTCCAAAAAAAACTCCTTGGTTTTACACAACAGAGCTTTTATATAAAGGAAGCCGTTGCTGTGCGTCTCCTGCATATCAATTCACTGTATACTCCTCAGTGTTTCTGTTCGGTTTGTTTGCTTTCCTGTTTTCTTCCAAGCACATGACTAATCGTTTTAATGTTTTCTCTGTGAATATGTAATATAGAGTATGGCAGGTCAGTGAAAACCGGAACGTGTGGCTCGTAAACCACAGCAGGTGAATGTGATGGTTTAGGATCAGTCCTCTTGCTGTTCCTGAGGTCTTTATAAGGAGGTTGTGTGTGTGCGCGTGTGTGTGTGTTTATATATATTTTTTCATTTGATTGCAGTGTATGAGGGAGATTGAAGTCTTTTTTTTTGCATAGGGATGTCATTCAAATGGAAGGGTTTGTTCATATCATCCTATTTGTAAAGCTGTGTATTAGTAATATGGAAACATAAAGTTGGTTATTTTTACAAAGCATTGGGTGTGTGTGTGTGTTTTTCACTGTGTCGTATGAGGATGCGTGTTAAGCGTTTAGGAGTTGTGTATATAAAATGAAGAAAACGTTGAGATTATATTAATTGCTTTACAAAATTCAGCCGGCTACATCGATATTTTCTTTTCTCCAGTGACTCCCAAAGCTGAATTTTCCAATTATTACTGCATTATTCCAATGTTCAGTTTTCCACAGTCTATCTGACAATATTTTACAAGCGGTTTTGATATTCAATAATCTATTTTTAGTAAATGGAGCATAATATTTTTGGGAATACCATCATTATCGTACTGTACTTTGGTTTTTGTTTGTTTTTACTTTTCTCTCATTAACTTATATTTTAAATGTATATATTTGTTATTGTGAGTTACTGTTTTTGTTTGTTTATTTAGACATCCAATAAAGACGTTTTTCAAATGTTGCATTAATCGACTTTCTTAGAAATTGATTAGTACAAAAATATTTGAAATGCTTTTTAATACATATTTAAAATGAGTATTTTTAGATTTTATGAAAAATACAAAATTCAACATGAAAATGTGTGTGTATATATATGTAGCTGAAGTCAGAATTATTAGCTCCCTTTGAAATATTTTTTCTTTTTTTAAATATTTCCCAAATGATGTTTAACAGAGCAAGGAAATTTTCACAGTATGTCTGATAATATTTTTTCTTCTGGAGAAAGTCTTGCTTGTTTTATTTCGGCTAGAATAAAAGCAGTTTTCATTTTTTTTAGACACCATTTTAAGATCAGTATTATTAGCCCCTTTAAGCTATATATTTTTTCTGATAGACTACAGAACAAACCATTATAATACGATACTAGTTAAACCTTTAAAGGTCACTTTAAGCTGATTAATAGTATTTTGAAAAATATCTAGTTAAAAATTTACTGTCATCATAGCAAAGATAAAAAAAATCAGTTATTAGAAATTAGTTATTAAAACTATTATGATTAGAAATGTGCTGAAAAATTCTCCGTTCAACAGAAATTGGGGATACAAAATAAACGGGCTAATTCATAATTGAAAATACAAATATTTAAAAGCAATACATATATATATATATATATATATATATATATATATATATATATATATATATATATATACTCTAACTTTAAATATAAAATGTGTCCTTACAGATTAAGAGTATTAATGTTTGACCCCCCAATGTTTGAACGTTTATGTGAAAACCCCCTTGACACACAGTGTGTATTTGCTAATGTAAAAAAAATTAATATAAATAAAGCCTATACCCCACATCTATACAACTCATTGTTGTCATGTCAAATACAAGTTATGACAAACAGCATGCGTCAACAACATGAAAGCATGGTTCCATCCTGCCTTGTATCACCGGTTCAGGCTGGTGGTGGTGGTGTAATGGTGTGGGGGAGATTTTCTTGGCACACTTTGGGCTCATTAGTACCAATTGAGCATCGTGTCAACACCACAGCCTACCTGAGTATTGTTGCTGACTATGTCCATCCCTTTATGACCACAGTGTACTCATCTTTCTGATGGCTACTTCCAGCAGGATAACGCCCCATGTCATAAAGCGTGAATCATCTCAGACTGGTTTCTTGAACATGACAATGAGTTCACGGTACTCAAATGGCCTCCACAGTCACCAGATCTCAATCCAATAGAGCACATTTGGGATGTGGTGGAACGGGAGATTCACATCATGGATGTGCAGCTGACAAACTGTGATGCTGTCATGTCAATATGGAGCAAAATTTTTCCAGTGTCTTGTTTAATCTATACCATGAAGGATTAAGGCAGTTCTGTATTAAAAGTATTAATTGCTTGAATGGTCATGTAAAGACCCCCCTGACACCATGTGTGTATTTTATGTTTAAAATAAATAATTGTTGAAAATAATAATCTACTCCGCATATTTATGCAACGCATTATTGCCACGTCAAATGCAAGTTATGACAAACGGCATTCATCAAAATTGAAACATCATACGTACACGTGCTCGACTGCTAGATATCGCGAGATTTCCGAAGAAAGGCCGATAGGAAACAGCCGATGTGTAACAAACCATCGCTCCTCCCTCGCCCTCCGGAAAAACCCGAACGACCAACACATCGACTTGACGAAAACACCCGAACTCTCACACAACGCTATCTGCTCGCTTCCGAGCATCTGCGAACATCCCCGGAAAAGCACGACCCTCTCTGAAGTCGCCTGACGGAAACGACCGAAGCGTAACTCCCGTCCCTGTTCATCATGGCTACCGTATGTGCTAGTCTGCACAGTAACGCTCTGCTCGGAGACTGACTCTCCGCTCCTTTAGTGCCTCACATTTACTGTCTCCACCCTCGACATCTCGGCAAATAACCCCGCTTGCATGAGCCCAAACGTCCCCGGTTGTGTTGTGTCACAATAACGAGCCTTCATCAAGCATTTCGTCGGGCCTTAAAACCCCCCTTAAACAGACAGAGAAAAACAGGCAACATTTGTATTTCTCCAATGGTCTGAATACACTTTCCGCCTTTATGAACCATGTGTGAGAACTGCGCCGAGCTGCTGGAGGTGCTCAATGAGAGTAAGTCAACAGCATTTGTTTGTTTGTTTTTTTCCTCTTGTGTCCCTGTTTGTAGTTGTTTGCTGCAAGTTGTTAGCATGACTGTCCGAGCATGCGGCTCTCTGCTTCAACAAGAGCACAATTTTCCGTGTCCAACATTTAACGTTACACACTTTTCCTCAACGTGTGTATTTAAAACACCACTCGAGCTCCTCTTGGCTGTCATTATTAGTGCTTTCTTCGATTTCGATGTGTGTTTTCGCGAAGGCGATGCTAGTCGTTAGCATCGCAAGATGTTAACTCGCTTGCTAAAATCACCAAGAAAACATTGCTGCACATTTTCCAACAACATCCTCGAAACACTTATTTATGTGTGGCCTAAATATCGGTTTGTTTTCAAACGTGTGGATGCCCACGGGAAGTTGAACTGACGTTAGCATTAGCATTAGCCGGAGCTGGATTGTTTTTGACATTGTCATCCTTCAAAATGCACGCATATCGGCATCTGATCGCCCAGCACTGTCCGTAATGCACTGTAATTCTGCATGGGCGAGTGATTTGTGGAGGTTACAGCGATCTGGCGGTCGTGATGCGAGTTTTTAGCGGTGTTTGGCCCTGTGATGGCTGCTGGACTGGGAGCAGTATTTGTGTTGTTGCTCTGCTTTGTTGGATGGAAAGAGGAGAGAGTGTGTGTTGTGGATCAATGCGCTTTCTTCACTTTAGGACTCAGTGATGTGTTTGCTTTGTAAAGACTGTGATGGGAATAACAGTGTTTCCAAGCATGCTATTTTTTATTGTGTGTGATATTTGAAAGAACTCCTGATTCATATCAATAGTCATGTTTTTAAGTTACTATGGCAGTCAGAAGGTGTTTCTGTATATATGATCATCTTGGTATTTTAATGATGATTTCAAGAGTTTATTTAATGCATGTCTTTGGTAAAAGTCTAAAAGCCATGCTATTTCTGTGGCACTGTTCTAGTAATATGTTTGTACGAACATATTACTATGATGCATATCAATATTCATGATGTTACTATGGCAAAGTCATACATACAGCATTGGACTGAATGCTTAACTATCAACGTTAAAAACATGAAGTTGCCATGGTAAATTCATTACAAACATGGTGCTGTGGTTTTTGCAACACAATCTCGCGGCAATTCATCGCTTTTGGATTTAGTGGCTAGTTCATATGAATTTGTAAGATCTAATTTGTACAATTTAGTATGACTTGCTCATCCCCCAGTGACAGTTGGGTTTAGAGGTGGGGTTAGGTGCCACGCCTTCTTTTTAAAATCGTACAATTTCGTACGACTGAACTCGTACGAATTCGTACAAATTAGCCACTAAACTAGCAAAACGTAAAATACTTGCATTTCCTCGTGAGGTCAGGCTGTTTTTTCCGTCATGAAGTGAGAAGCTTTTCCTGAATATATTATCGTATGCAAGTTTGCCATGGTATTTGTATAAAAACTTTCAAATATGCATACTAAAAATGGGAATTTGGCGACACAGTGGCGCAGTAGGTAGTGCTGTCGCCTCACAGCAAGAAGGTCGCTGGTTCGAGCCTCGGCAAGGTCAGTTGGGATTTCTGTGTGGAGTTTGCATGGTCTCCCTGTGTTCGCATGGGTTTCCTCCAGGTGCTCCGGTTTCTATGATGAAAATCAAGTCACAATATTATTATGGCGAAGTCATATATGAAGTATTGCATTGAATGCACTGAATGCGTTTCTGTGCTGCGCATTGTTAAACATGACAGTAATAATGTGGAAAAGTCATATGTAGAGCATTGCACTGAATGCTTACCTGTAAAGGTCATAAAATTACCATGGTAAATTCAGTACAGACATAGTGGTGTGTTGTGCATGTCAGGTGTTCCTGTATATATTATTGTATGCAAGTTTACCTTGCTATTTATAGGGTACTTTTTTAGGATATCTAAAAACATCCATTTACTTTGGTGAAGTCTAAAGCTCAGGGTATTTTGGTGGTCATCTGTACAAACATTTTAATGACGCATATCGGTAAACATGACAGTAATATGGTAAAGTCATATGTAACAAGATTTTAAACTACCATGGTAAAGTCATCACAAACATGGTGCTGTGGTTGTGCAGTTCTGATGTCAGACGGTTTTCCTGCGTTTTTTAGACGTTAAGTTAATTTGAAAGATCTTCAACTTTCACAAGCAGTGCAGCTCATCAATGTCAGGTCTAAAAGCAATGGACCAATCAGAAGAGCTCTGAGGTGGGAAAACCACTGCGAGCTTCTGTTTATAGTAGAGCGTTGGCTTGACAACTCTTTTATTTAACGTCAAGTCATTGCTAAAGAGACGCTCATTGTGGCTTGTCTAGAATATCCTGAGTTATGTGATGTATCTTCAAGCGCTTATCATAACATTATTGTTTTCCTATTTCTAATGGGTAATTGTCGTTATTAAATTACAATTCACATTATATACACTCACTGGTCACTTTATTAGGTACTCCTGTCTAACTGCTTGTTAATGCAAATTTCTAATCAGCCAATCACATGGCAGCAACTCAATGCATTTAGGCATGTACACATGATTAAGAGGATCTGCTGCAGTTCAAACCGAGCATCAGAATGGGGAAGAAAGGGGATTTAAGTGACTTTGAATGTGGCATGGTTGTTGATGCCAGACGGGCTGGTCTGAGTATTTCAGAAACTGCTGATCTACTGGGATTTTCATGCACAAACATCTCTAGGGTTTACAGAGAATGGCCCAATAAAGTGAAAATATCCTTGTTGATGTCAGAGGAGAATGGCCAGACTGGTTCCAGCTGATAGAAAGGCAACAGTAACTCATAACCACTTGTTACAACCGAGGTCTGCAGAGGAGCATCTCTGAATGCACAAC